AAGACTTTCTCGTTACTGTCGTGCATAATGGTGACTAAGACTCATGTAGTTATTATTATCTCTTTATTATTATTATTATTATCCCTGTATGGCAATGAATAATTGTTTGACTTGAGTTTTACTCATTTCTATAACTTTTGTTGTTTTCAAATTGATTTATATATAAATTTATTTATTACCTTAGGGAGAGATTATTCATCCTTTTGTTGGCTTATTGTATTCAAGCTTATATTGCATATGCTTATATGATGATTTACATTGATGGCGATGCGATGATGATGATGATATTGGTGTGGTGTTTAGCTTTGTGTGTGGAGAATGTTTGTTTACAATCGATGTGCTTAACCCCGCGGTGTTTGTGTGTTTCTATATTATTGGATGGAGGATTTCATCATGAGCTGACATGCCAGTTAGAGAACCATTGGAAAACCAGCTGGGAGTACTCGTCCTAGTTTGGGACTCGTCAGCAGTACGCATTCACCTCACCTGGGTTTGAACCCAGGACCTTCTGGTTACAAGGCTAGTGAGCTCGTAGACCATTCACTAAGCCACTGGGACCCGATCCATGGCCGGCCCATGAATTCTTACTTCTGCCAATTCATGAAATAGCGCGACCGCTTCGCAATGTCTTCTTCGATGAGTTACTGCCTCATCTTCAACCTGCTATATGATTATTATTTATGGTTACACTTAGTGGGAACTATTGAAAATCAGCAAGAGGTATTCGACGTAGTTGTTTCGTCATCAGTACTCACCCATGACCCCATCTGGAGTTGATCCGCAGGTTGGGTGTGAGAACAAATACTCAATGACGACACTGGCTGGAGGTGCCGCTAAAAATAAATCGCGAAATAATAGGAGTTAGAATTGATTGGCTGGATTGGATTGGATTCCGTCTCATATGACTGAATGGTCAATGGGCTCACCTTGTAACTTGAAAGTCATGGATGGGTATTGCTGAAGAGGTCTAGTGAAGGACGAAACAGCTATTCAGTACTCCGTATTGGTTTTCAATGGTTCTGTAATTGAAATGCGGTCCTGATTATTCTTGAAAACTGTCAAATTCCTAAAAATTAATACTTGAAATTTTTATTTTTAAGCAAATTTGTCAACATTAGTCAAGTGGATTCTAGTGTTTTGTGGTTATGTCATTTTATAGTTTCTCCACAATGGGCTAGCCTGGTAACCTCAGGACACTGAGATTGATCGCTGACGAAATCTCAGCACAAATACAGAAGGCTCGTTTGACATCTGCCCGCCAGCTTACGCCATATCTGGCTTAGTAGATGGAATATCCGTGTAGCTGTCGAACAAAGGACGTGTGTACTGCACTGCAGTTCGCTCCGTCCTCCTTTATGACTGCGTGAGACGTGGCCATTGAAAGTGGAAGACATGGAAAGCCTGGCTGGCTGTCTTTGATCATAGGTGTCTGCGTTCCATCTCCCGTGTTAAGTGGTGGTATGATAAGGTGTGCAATATTGAGGTTAGGCTTCGTTCAGGTGCTAGGTGGGTGAGTTGGTGAGGAAATCAATCGACGAGTTTGTGAAGTTATATCGATTGAGATGGTTAGGGCATGTGTTATGCATGCATTTCTAGCCATCAATCGCCTTCCTCGACGGGCGATGTTAGCTGACATAATGGATCAGGTTGGAAAATAGTTAACTAGTGGTGGTCAAACCAAAACATGGAATCGTTCCGTGGAATCTTTAAGTTACTTTAAACCATTTAGGGAGAGGTTGAGCGCTGTCTGGTTGGGGTCCTGCGGACGGTAAGAACCAATGAAGATTGCAAACAATTGGTGATATGGCTCAAACTCATTGTTCTAATGACTGTTTCAGAAGCATTCACTCCTTGTAATTTGCCATATCCAATAAAACTCTATGGTTCTTCCATATTACTATTCTTTTTCCTTCACTCATACCACTGTTTATTACCTATCTCTCTTTTGAATCTCACTCTACTCTCTTCTCTTGCTTTGTATGCTGCACTAAATGGAGTGCCGCAACTCGAACTACTACAGTTCTGTGCAAAGTTCTATGTTGAAACCAGTTAGTTTGGATCTTGGGTGCGTTTCTTGCTGGGATGATGAGTACGCACTGATGAGGAGTCCATAACTGGGGAGAAACACATCTAGTTTCCAGTGATTCTCTAATTGATGTCAGTTGGTGACGAAATCTATTTCTTATCATTTCTTTGCTCTTATGATTATATTGGCTTGTAATGATATCGTCGCATTCACTTAATATTTAACCTTTTGGTCGAATTATTTTTTATTGTTGATTGATAAATTTAATCGAAGTTAGGTTGGAGATTGATCTTAGTAGCAAACGTGAATACATTTCCTAGCATTCCTAAGATTCAAATCACTGCCGCCTCCGAATTCCTAGTCCGGTGCTTTACTATCTAAGCTACAGGACCCAACCAGCTAACTAGGTCGCCCTTTTGCACAACTTTGTCTTAAGGACTTGTCGGCCACCAATTACTGTTTTTTCATCCACCTATTTTATCATTATTTATGGTTATAAACTTTGTTTTCCAGAAATAATAGTTTATTAATTGAAACAAATTGTTGTATTTTCTGAGGTTTTCCAGTGGTTCCTTAACTGATGTCAGCTCATGATGAAAGCGTCCAACCAATTAAACAAAATCCCCTACGAAACCAATTGATCTGATGCTCACTAGTGACTGCCACTATTCAGGCAGTTAAGCTGGGGTTTTAGTGGGAAGCCGTGACCAGTAGGGGACAGAGGGTTGAAAGTGAGGCAGTAACTCATCTAAGAAGACATTGTGAAGTGGTCACGCTATATCGTGAATTGGCAGAAGTTAGAATTCATGAACATGGCCATTGGATCAGGTCCCAGTGGCTTAATAAATGGTCTACGAGCTTGCTAGCCTTGTAACCAGAAGGTCCAGGGTTCGAACTCCGGTGAGGTGGATACGTACTTATGAGGAGCCCCGAACTAGGCTGATGAAATAGCTGTCCAGTACTCTCTGGAGGTTTTCCAATGGTTCTTTAACTGGCATGTCAGCTAATGATGAAACCCTCCATCCAATCAAACAAAATCCCTACAAAACGAATACTTGATGAGTATAGTATTATTATTCCCTTGGGTTCCAAGTGGAACATAGGGCTTCAATAGCACATCTGCATTTCACCCTGTTCTCTGCTGGCATCTTTTTAGCTGACTCCGTGATAGCCTGCAAGATTTCATTTGCTTCTCATATGATCGTCATCGTATCACCCTTTGACCCTCACTCAACTCGTCGTTTTATGTTTGGGTTCCACTGTGGGACTTGGTGCGTGGTGTCATTCAGTGGCCTCTTTAGTAACCTGTTCAATCCACATCCATTTCCTAATAGGTTCTTGATTGTTTCTCTGAGGGAGTTCCTTGTCGCTTCTTATCCTTTTTGGCCAACTGGTCATCTGATCTTCAGTGTGGAGATCAAGGGAGCAGCTGTTAACGGAAGTTTGCAACAGCCTGGTTACAGCTGACTATATAGTACAACTTTGCAATGAATCAGTGTTGTATGGTACACTATCTGTTTTGTGTTTTACTGTCCAGCAGTTGAATGAATTGGATTGGTGTATAATCCAGTCTTTATTTGTATGTGAAATCGATTGTCAAGGATAAGTTCTATATACCGCTTCAATTTAATTATTTGCCATCTTGTATGGGAAGCAACGAGTTGGGCGTCCAAGGGTGGTGACAAGGAGGAAATCATGTGAGGAGATTAAAGCCTATGAGCGGTTGTCATTAGAGGCATCAAGAGATACACTATACAAGATCTTGTGGTTTTGTGCAAGGGCTGGGATACTTACTGTCCAGACGTCCAAATCGAAGCGGGTGGTTGGTTTTTATGTGCACCACTCTTTGGAGCCTTTCATTTGAGGTCTAATCCGAAGACCAAAACAGTCTTATACACTATTATATCTATTAGAATTCTTGAGCCCATGTACACCATAGGTTTGGAATTAGGGTTTTCCACCTCTGCTAGGTTAGGTAGGCGAGCATATCCCCAGGCTAGACATTCTCATTGTCTCTTTCACGTTTGCGAGGACCTGTCTGTCTGTCTTTTTTCGAAATAGAACTTTGCACCGGTATGCAACAGTTCAAGTCGCCACACTCTATGTAGCACACAAAGCAGGAGAAGAAAGTAGAAGAAATGCATAATAGAGACAGTAAACAGAGGTGTGAGACAAAAGGAATAGTAATAACGAAGAGCAATATAGTTTCATTGGAAATTATAAGTCACAAGTAATGGATGCATCTGCAACAGCCATTGAGAATGATTTTGAGCCATGTCACTAATTGTCTCCAGCCATTGGTTTTCACAGCTCCGAGGATCCCAGCGAGGAAGCCATTCTACACCTCCCTACGTGACTCACCGGCTTAAACTAACTGTTGTGGATTTCATTGACTGGCGCCATGTTTTGGTTTGACCGCCTCTAGCCCTTTCCCAACCTAACCCATCCTATGTCAGCTAACATTGCCTGTCAGTCGAGGAAGGTGATGGCTATGCATGCGTGCGCAACACCTGTCCTAACCATCTCAGTCGATGTAGCTTCACAGCCTCGTCGATTAATTTCCCCTCTAACTCACCTAACACTCGACTAAATCCTAACCTCGATATTGTTCACCCTATTATACCACTTCACACGGGAGATAGAACGTAGGTACCTATGATCGAAGACAGCTAATCTTTTCATGTCTTCCACTCTCAATGGCCATGTCTCACTCACAGCGATAAAGTAGGACGGAGTGGATTACTGAGCAGTACACCCGCCCTTTGGTCGATAGCCACTGCGTGAAGACACCTAAAAAAGACAGTCGGGAACAAGGTTTAATGGAGATGAGCGGCTGAAGCCTTATTTTCCACTTGGGTTGGGACCCAAGTGTATAGTAATAATATAGTATAATAGGAGTAATAGAAGTGTGTGCGTGTGTATGTATGTATGTGTTGTGCATTAATCCTTCTTATCTAATTTCTTCTTATTTCAGACATTGTGTTTATCAAGTTATCTATCTTAGTTGTATCATTATTGGGCATTACATATTGATTATCGATGTTATCACTGTACTCTATCGTTATTCATGGCTGGAAAATAATATATTCCTTGGGACTGGATGTTTATTTTTCAATGGATTACTGTATATGCTATTGTGTTTTAGTGATCCAGGTTAGTTATTCAGCATTGCTGTATGAAGTTTGGTATTTATTTTACTTTTTTTTGGTATTGATGACTTATTGTGGTGGTTCGAACTCTATTCCAGCTAGGTATTATGCATACTGATACAACTGGTTTCGTTCCCATTTGAATTTATACACGTATAGGCGACTTCGTGTACTAGTCGGTCTATTAGATGTGAGTAGTACTCATTTAACTTCATATTAGTTCGTTTATTAGATATATTGAGGCGAATGCTACTGATATGATTTATCAGTAGTATATATATAAAGAGATGTTCATTGGCATAAAAACAGACAACGATCAGCATAAATGGGAGGAACCTGAAAGAAACAACCTCCTTTACCTACCTGGGAAGCATCGTCTCAACTACAGGCGGACGGAACTGACGAGTATATCAAAGCAAGAATCGGGAAAGCAAGACAAGCTTTCACTACTCTCAAGCCTGTGTGAAGGTCAACAGCACTCAGCATCAAGAATGAGATCCGGATTTTCAACTCAAATGTGAAGTCAGTCAGTGCTACTCACTATACGGATCAGAGACTTGCACTGCGCGTCATAAACAGCATCTCAAACGAACAACAGACCTTCATTAGCAGTTGTCTTCGCTCAATACTCAAGATCAAGTGGCCAGAAAGGATCAGCAACAGATATCTCTGGGAGCGAACCAACCCAGCAGGAACCGATTGTGAAACAAATAAGCAGAAAGAAATGGAGGTGGATTGGCCATACTCTGAGGAAACCATCAAGTGACATCACTAGACAAGCCATTGCTCGAGTGGAACCGGGCCGAAAGGGAAGCGGCGAGTTGGTCGTCAGTGCTAGGGTGACTTGGAGGAGGTCATGTGAAGAGGAGATGAAAGCGTGTGGGCAGACTTGGCGCCAGGTGAAGACTCTAGCAGAGAACCGAACGCAATGGAGATGCACGGCTGAAGCCCTATGTTCCTCTAGGAATTAAAGGAAACAATAATAATAATAATATTGGTAAATCAGGACTCTGTGGGTGGGGATCCGGGAGATCGTTGGAATCAGTGGCATTATCAGATATGGATAAGAATCGCAATTACTGGTAAACATGCTGCAGTTTCCTTCCTTCTTCCCTTTCTGAAAGTAATATGAAGTGACGAATGGTAAAATGATCTTAAGAGGGAAGTATGCTTGCATACTTCATAATTTCCACATAAAGATTCCTTTGCCAAGTCTTTCTCCTTCTACCGTTTCAACATGACGTAGTGTAAAGTAACAGGACTCGACAACTTCCGTCCGGTGCTATGAGTATCAATGTGAAGAAACTCACCTGCACACACACGGGTAATGGAAGAAAGCGAAAGATGAGTTACGTGCGGCAGACGCCTCCATATGGCGATCGCCGCGGAGGATTCGGGATGCCAGGCCCAAGCTAAGAGCTGCCGCAAGTATGGATAACATTCGCGTCTGGCTACGCAGCTCAAATAGACGTCGCTGGGAAACCTGTTAAGCTTGATGTGGAAGACGGAGGTCCGGAGGACTGAGATCACTGGAAGTTTCAAAGAAGCGGCTAGGGCTGTATTTTTAACTTGTGACTCACGATTACTGGATGTCCGTGGATGGCTTGGTAACCCTATCATGGATTGCTGGAAGGGGATTCGACATGGTGACCAGTCAGAAGCGGTGTTTTATGCGGTGTGAAGTGAATCGGCGTTCGAGATCTTGTTTCCATGAGGCAGGATAGACTGTGTCTATTGCGTATGAGTCGCCGATTAGGTGTTCACGATCTGGGTTTGCTGGCGGGATGCTCATAGATTATTCTAGGATATGAGAAGCAACATCTCAGTGAGTTGTTCTGAGTCTGTATGAGTTGCTGGAGCAGTTTGCATAACGATACACGTTCAATAGAAATAGAAAGTAAATAAATGCAAAATCTACCCTGTCCAACTGATGTTGATGGCATTGGCAGTAAATCTTCAGATGATGCGGGTAAAACTCATTTAGTTGAGGGATTTCATCATGAGCTGACATCAGTTAGAGAACCATCGGAAAACCTCCAGAGAGTAGTGGACAGCCGTTTCGTCAACCTGGTTTGGGACTCTTCATCAGTACGCACCCACACTGAGGGGTTTATTTATTTTTTTTTTATTTTTTGGTTACAGCTTGATGCCACACCGTATTTTTAGTATAGGTATGGAATTTTCAGCTTGGATATCGGTAGCCCAAATTTTGCAGGCCGACCATAGATATTGGGTGTGCGTCGGCAGGGGGTGGAACCCCGGACCATGTGCATGGTCGGCGAGAGTCCCAGCCACTGTGCCACCGAACCCATTGGGCCATTGGATCGGCTCCCATTGGGTGAATGGCCCACGAGCTCTCCCGGCGGGTGTGTACTGACGAGGAGTCCCAAACTAGACTGACGAAACAGCTGTCCAGTATTCCCTGGTTGGTTTCCCAATGATTCTCTAACTGATGTCATCTCATGATGAAATCCTCCAACCAACCAAACAAAATCCCTACAAAAAACCAGTACTTGAGAACTCACTCAGGTAGAAGAGATAGCTTTCTTTTGATTTCTCTCACTCATGGTGACTGGACATATGATTATGAACAATGCAAATTGTATTCGACATATCATCCATAAAGTATTAGTGTTTCTCAGTGTATGATAGAAGTGTATATATATATATCAAATAAGTGAAGTTCTTATAGAGAATGATAACACTACCCGTTTGTTAAAGTTTTACTCATACATATATTATTGATTTTTCTGTTTTTTATAACCCTTTTCTGTAATTTAGGTTTTATTAATTCACGAAATAAATCAGTGTATGCGCATATTTATGAATATGATAATTTTATCTATACGCCTAAACAATGCACTGTATGCTGTCATGTAATTCCGGCGAGAGCTAAACATTGTTGTAAGTTTATGTAGTAGTTGTACATTGATTCTGTTTTTCTTTTACACATCTTCGTTGCATTGTTTTGATTCTTATCCCTCTTTACAGCGTTGGTCACGCCTTAAGTGGTTCGGGATTCGATTCTCAGCCGATGCACTCTTAAAACTTAGCTTAGTTGGGAGTCTGTAGGCGAATTCTTGCTTCTGGGTAATATGAGTGTAATGGCAGTATGATGTTCCCGTCAGATGTACTGCGTCTTCTCATTAGGGATGAGGCTAGAAAGGGTCGACCCCGAAAATTGTTCATCCTAACTCACCTCGTGACAGTCCGTAGTGGGCGGTAAGATAATATAATACCGTTACAACTCCTAAAATCACTTCAGGCTGTCTGTGTGTGTGACTGGCTTCAAGCATTTGTCACTGGAGCCCTGCGGTTAAGCAACACTAATGCTGTTTCTGTTTCAGTTACCCGAAGAAGAAATCAACCTCCGCCCAGACACTTTCAGGAGAACACAAAGCTCAGTCAGTCGGTCAGTAATAATTGAAGATGAAATGAAAATCTGAGTGGCGGCGAGATCTCAAACAGCCAGGCGCTCAACTCCAGCTGAGAGCCGATTACTAACATGGTTATCGTTGTAATTTCTATCGCCTTATAGAGTTAAGATTTCAATTAAAAGATTTCTTTTGATGAATATTGTTCACATTACTGATGCAATGAGGCTGAACACTGATATTCTTTGAATAAGATAAAATACAGTAAAATATAATGGAGATTGAGTTTGTTCGATTCAACACTCAAAGGGTAAACTATTTCCCAAGAGAATTATCGAACGAATACGAAGAGTATGGCTCAATAAAAAGGTCGATCTATTGAAAAAAACAATGTCTATAGGGCAGTACACTAACTTCAATAGTTGGATACCTCTAGGTAGAAACGAGAACCTTATCTGTTGTCTATGCTCCGGAATTCTGAAAATCCGCTCTAGGGATATGATTGATTATTATTATTCCCTTGGGTTCCGAGTGGAACCTAGGGCTTCAACAACACATCTCCACTTTGTTCTATTTTCTCTTGCCTGTAATCTCTCATCTCTTCCTCACACGATCTCCTCCATGTCACCCTCACACTGACGACCGACTCGTCACCTACCATCTAGATTCCACTCAAGCGATGGCCTGCATTGTGCGCGTTGTCGTTCCTCAATGTATGCCCGATCCATCTCCATTTTTTCCTACGTATTTGTTGAGCGATCGACTCTCGCTTGTTGGTTTGTTCCCAGCTAAAGTTTCTTGTTGCTAATTCTTTCTAGTCAGCCATTTGACCTTTAGTATGGCAGCTGTTGTTAAAAGTCTGCAACAAGCTGTTGGAAATGCTTTTCGTTACACGCTGGCTAAGTTTTTGACCCGTATAGGAGGACAGATTTTACATTTGTGTTGAAAATGCGAATCTTGTTCTTTGCGCTAACTGAGTGCAGAAGATTCCCTCCAAACTGGTTTTAGGTTGATGAAGGCGCAGGTATCTTGCCTTTCCGATTCTGGCTGGCTGCCTTTGACATCATCCGTTCCGACAGCCTGTAGTTGAAACGATGCTTCCTAGACAAGTGAAGGAGGTAACCTCTTTCAAATTTCTTCTCTTGATAGTGATTGATGTTTGTTGTTGTTCGTTGGTTCGTCATCTTCATCACCTCCATCTTCTCTGTGTTCACTTGGAGTTCTGTCTTTGCTGCCTGCTTCTTCAGCCAGTTTATTGGGTTTCGCCTGGCTGTAAGTCTTCGAGTTTGTGTGACACTAGACATAAATCATCCACCCACGAAATCCAGATCTTCTAGAGTCTTCTTATCGGTCAGTGCATCATATTCCTCTCTTCTCACTCCCAGCACACAGTCTGATGCATAATCCAGTCCACCACCACAATTAAGAATATCATCATGTATTCACTTTGAGCACCCCGCTGAGTTTCCCGTAATGGATAACCTGACACGTGGCATTGTCATATAGCCGGCTATTAAATGAGGTTGATAAAGATTTGATCGATAGAGGATTGTAAAAGCCTTTGTACGACACTCTTAAATAGTGGATATCCTCAAAAGTTTATTAAGAGAAATATGAGGAAGGAAATTGCTCCTAATCGTGAAGTCATATTTAGAAGAAGATACTTGTTACTAGTTTGGTATTCAAAGATGATATTATTGTTGAAGTTATTAAAAGTTATTTATCCAATTGGCGTTAAACGCTGTTTTTATATCTCCAGCTTACACCTGGTATTCTACAATCGAAGTGTTCTTCGACAATGCATGATGGACATATGTATCTATGCACACATCTTCTCTTTCACATACCACTTATTACCTTTCTCCTTAATATAAATACGACTGTTGTTGGAAAGGAAGAGATATTTCTTTTCTGAGTAAAACTGTGTTTTTCCCTATCAATGAATAATTGAGTATATTTGATGATTTGAAGAACATCAGAAATTATGAGTTTCGACACCTACATTCCAACATACTCATTATTTGTTGTTAGATAGTTGAAGATAGTCGACAGGAATCCCTTGACCAAGGTTTTGTGCCTATCGACACTCATTAAGGAACTGACGTCTCTTTTGAAGATTCGTACTCGTGTCACCCAATGCTACTGTCGGAGACATTGTCAGTGAGTTCAAATAGCTCAGTGGTGATGATTGACAATCAACACGAAGCCTAGGTCAAGCGCCTCTTATCTACTACCTCCAACCTTTTAACAAGCAATGGTGATTACATATTAGATGGTTGGAGGCAATCGCCAGGAAGCCAAGCCTGACCTAGGTTTGGTGCTAGTTGGCACTCACCAGTCAGTCAGCAAGGCGTATCTGAAACCTTGAAGGAACTCATGTCCCCTGTCTGAGATTCGAACCCGCGTCACTCAGTGAGGGCGGCAGTCAGAGACGTTACCACTGAGCTATTCGGGCTCGCGATTGACCTCCTGTAAGACTCTTTTGGATATTTGTTGACTCGACACTAGCCAGTAACTAGTGTAATGTGCCCAGTCCTTTTTTGGAGCAGACTGGATTCTGTCAGTTAGGTTTGCAATGTGGCCACCATTCTAGGTAGCTCGCCATCACAGTGCACATAGATTTGATGATATTAGATGGTTGGAGGCAATCTGCTCCAAAGAAAGGACTAGACACATCACACTAGTTACTGACTAGTGTCCAATCAAATGGGGATTATATTGGAATATAGGAGTCGATCAGCAGTGGTCTTTGTCAGAAGAAACTCATATTCTTGGATTTTATAAGCTTTGTACATTGTTTTAATATATTTCCCCTTTTTCTTCATTTTCTACAGTTCGATGTGATCATTGTATCTTTCGATTTGATCATCATTGTGTATGGACAAATTGTTGTATTGGTGGACAAAATCATGGACTATTTATTACCTTTCTATTCTCATTATGCTTAATGATTGGCAATGCTATCTGGTTATGTTGTCGTATGCTTTACACCTTCACAATAGTAAGTGATATATATATATTTATTTGCATAAATATTAATTAAAACAATCAGTCCCTTTGATAGATTTGAATAAGGCATTTAGAAGACATATTTCGCAAGATTATGTCATACATTGATGTCAAACTTCGTCGAAAAGAAAATTTTCTTCGCTGCAACCGTCTTTTTACTAATACCTATGATCCATTATAAATAAGATTTTATTTTGATAAATCACACAGTGTTGTTATACAGTAATATTAACTGATAACTACGTTTCGAGAATAAACTGTTTCTCATAATCAATAGTTTATGCTCGAAACGTTATCAATTAATATTACTGTGTAACAACACTGTGTGATTTATCAAAATAAAATCTTATCTATAATGGAGTTATACTCTACCACAGTGCCCAAGTCTTATACTTATATCCTATGATACAGTGTGTATATTCCGTGATGTCAAACTGTTGAAAAATAAGATATTATTTATAAATGTGTTTCTAATTATAATGGAGAAGATTAGTAGCTCAGGTGAATGATTTTGATCTAGTTGTGTTCTCTGAGCAGCTGGATGGTGGTTTATTTGCGAAGCTTTCATTATTGCCCTACTAGGCAACATCTTCAGTGCATACTTCACTTTGATGAAGTGAGCTTTTAAATTTCTCCACGAGTTCACTATTAGTCATCTCTCCTGGTGACCCTGACCTACTCATATTGTTACTGATTGTTTCCTTGACCTGAAGTTTGACCCTTTTTGTGTGAGATTTCCTTCTTATTGGTTGGTAAATCTTGTCTACGTCGATGTGTCTATTGATTGACGATTCACTGGAATGTCAGACTTTTGAAAATTCTGTAGCATTCTTGGTGTTTCCTCTGTCTAATATTTGAACGTTGTCTCAGTCGAATTGATGTCCGTGCTTGTCTATATGCAGTGAGGCTGTATGAGGGAGTGGATGTCATGTCTTTTGACGGCTAGTTTATGATCATGGATACAAAGACGAAGGGGACGTTCACTTTGACTTATGTAGTGTTTTTCACAGTCGTTGCAGTTTATTTTGTAGATGATTTCGGTTTTATCTTCTTTCGTTGTTGAGTCTTTTGGTTGACACAGTGTTGGCTGAGTTGTTTGTGTACGACGTCAATTCCTAAAGGTTTGAAGAGTCATGCAGTGTTTTCTGAGATGTCCTTTATATATGGTAGGGCGATTTTCTTTGTGCTTTCCTTGGGGACCTTTTGATTTGTTAGGTTTGCTTGGGAGTATATGTCTTTTGATGAAATTCTGTGGATATCCATTCTTTTGGAAGACGTCCATAAGCTATCTTTCTTCAATTTTCCCTATGGTAGGAGTGCTGCAATGAGTCCTGGCCGATCCTCTTGAACAGTGTTTGTATACAACCCCTTTTGACTTTCTAATTTCTCTGTGGTTGTTCGCTTGACTAAGACGTTCAGAAATGGGATTTTGTTCACGGATTCCTCTTCTCTTGTGAATTTGATGTCATTGAAGACACTGTTTGCTAAAAGCTCAGTTCATCAAATTGAAGTATGCGCTGAAGATGTTGCCTAGTAGGACAGTAAGGAAAGCTTAGCAAATGAACCATCTACTTCAGGGTTTCTAATTCTTTGCAAAAATGAAACTGTTAATACTAATTTATTTATGCATTCATTTGTAGCACGAGAATTTATGGCAAGCACATTACTTGGATGAATATGATCAAATGCATCCAATGGATTGGCTTACATTATCACAGGTGAGTCTATTTTTTCTTATGAACCAATTAATTTTTCAAGTATTGATTTGCAATGATTTGATTGATTCCTAGTTAGAATATGAACCGTGACGAGATGAAAAGATACGGGATCCAAGTACTGGGAATATGTGAAAGCAGATGGAATGGGAATGGACTCACCAAATTGTCAACGGGTGAGTCAGTGATCTACTCCGGTCACCCAGAAGACAACCACACGCAAACCGAGGGCGTGGTTATCATGATGTCACCAACGGCAACCAAGGCTCTGATACAATGGGAGGCGATCTCACCCAGAATAATGAGCGCCAGATTCAACTCCAAAGGAAGGAAAGTGTCAATTATACAATGCTATGCACCGACCAACAACGCAGACCTCGAAAAGAAAGAAGAATTCTACAGACAACTGCAGGCAGCAATAGACAATACTCCAGCCGGTGACATCAAAATACTAATGGGAGACATGAACGCAAAACTGGGACCAGACAACACAGGAAGGGAACTCATCATGGGTAAAGAAGCTCTGGGAGAGATGAATGAAAATGGAGAACTCTTCACCGACTTCTGCGCCTTCAATGAACTAGTGATTGGTGGCAGCGTATACAAACACAAGGATATTCACAAGGCTAAATGGGTGTCACCAGACGGGCGAACCAAAAACCAAATTGACTTCTTCACAATCTCGAGGAAGTGGCGGCGCAGCCTACTGGACACGAAGGCAAGAAGAGGAGCAGACGTTGGCTCAGACCACTACCTCGTACAAGGAACAATCCAACTCAAATTAAAAGCTTTCAGAGAAACAGGAGCTGCAGATAGACCACAAGCCAAGTTCAACACTCAAAAACTAAAGGACCAGGATACAAAGGACATCTTCACTGCAAACATAAGGGAAAAAGCCGAGACACAAATCAACACTAGCGAAGACGTCAGCGTTGAGAAGCACTGGGACAATCTGAAAGCGGTGTGGAGACAAACCTGCATGGAAGTTCTGGGCAGAAAGAAGAGACAGGACAAACAGTGGCTCATTACGGACACTTGGAGACTAACAGAAGAGAGAAGGATGGTAAAACAAAAGATTCTCCAGTGCACCGACGAGCAACAAAATCAGGAATTGAATGCAAACTACAAAACACTGAACAAAAAAGTAAAGACGAGTGCCAGGGAAGACAAAAGAAAATATAATGAAGCCATGGCAAGTGAAGCAGAACAAGCTGCAGGCAAAGGAGACCTCGCAACACTCTACCAAACTACTAGGTACCTATCGGACAAAAGTTTGACACAAATTAAGCCGGTGAGTGATGACAATGAAAAGTCACTCACCAAAGAAGTGGAGCAAAGGAAACACTGGGCTGAACACTTCAAAAGACTCCTAAATTGACCACCACCTACAACGCGCCCAATAATACTGACAGCGGAAGCAGAACTATCAGTGAACATCAACACCCCGACGAGAACAGAAGTCCTGAAGGCAATCAAGATGCTAAAAGCTGAAAAAGTGGCAGGACCAGATGGAATCCTAGCAGAAGGATTGAAAATGGACCCAGAGACAACAGCGGACTTCATGACGTCACTACTGGAGAAGGTGTGGAAAGAAGGCAAAGTACCCGAGGGTTGGAAGAAAGGCTACTTATTCAAACTGCCAAAGAAAGGAGACTTAAGTCTATGCAAGAACTGGCGCGGGATTATGCTCCTGTCTATCCCAAGGAAAATACTAAGCCGCATCATCCTGGAGAGAATCAAACAAGCCAACCTGGATGAAAAACTTCGACCGGAACAGGCTGGATTCAGGAGAAACAAGTCATGTATTGATCGAATCGCCACACTACGGATCATCATAGAACAGAGGTTGAAATGTGTATTTATAAAATATTTAAATATTTATATCTCTCTTCGTGTTTTTTTTTTTTGATTTTTATCTTTTTATAGCATCTATTCGTCACATTTCCTCGTGTTATCGGAATGCTCGCCATGCTGATTATCGCTGAATTATTCTTAATTAATTATTTAATATTCCATCTATGGCTTATTCTTATCAATTGTACATCCTATGAATACTTTCAAGGCAGAAAGAAACAATCGATAATGTCAAGAAAGTCTTTCTCAGGTAGACACAATCATCATCAACACCATCAGCATTATCGTCATTATAATATTGCTGATGGCAATGACCTTGATAACATTGATGATGATGGTGATGATGATATTGTCGATGACGTCGGTGAGGATCAGAGGAAGATGATGCGACAGTCATTTATCAATCATGAAGTAATTCATACAGGTAGGTCAACATTTGCATCAACTATCAATGCGGAACAAGATCGATCAAGAGAGAATTGGAGAAATTATTATTCAAACAGTGGGAAAAATGACGTCTATCCTATGCAACAGAGAAAGAATCAGCATTATAGACAATTTTATAATAAAGGTGTATGGAATAATATCTTGGAAGTGTATTCACAGAGTACATCCTATTCACTGAGGGAAATGAAACATCGTCTACCTGTACAATTGACATTTAAAACTCGTTGAAATTGCTGTGCTGATTTCTTCATTCTAGCAGTCAAGATAAATGCTTTGAATCTATTGAGAAATGAATGATCCATGCGATATGCTTTTATTGATTTATATATATATATATACATTAGGTAATTGACTCCTCTTTTGGTTTTCTCTCTGGATAACTAACACACTTTTTCTTTTCAATATTGTATATAATTTTTCTGTTTAAAAATAAATTTGAATTAATGACAATTGAATACTTTTCAAGTGTTGCAGTGTAAGCAGATTTGACCGAATAGTTGCAAAATAATTGAGCGCCGAGTGAGAAGTAGACATTTGTAAAAAAATTATATTTGTAAAATCTCAGAGAGATTGAAATGAGTAATTCCAACTTAATTTGTGGATGGTGACTAGCAGTGGAGTAATCCAGGATAACTCGCACTTCGTCCTATTTCGGACTCGTCATATGGATGTACCTGCATTTCTCAGTGAGTGATGATGTTCCCACCACGGAGGCCTGAACCCAGTGCCCATAGTTTTAAACACCAGCCAAAGTGTGTTATCCACTAGACCACTTGGGCCACGAGAGCCACTGCCTCTTGTGCAACGGGTTATATTAATTATCTTACTGAATTTTAGATTTTCCCGTCGATTGATTGGACCGAAGTGTCCGGTCTCAGGTTGACATATCGGCTTCTTGTGCAGATGCTTCGAAATCAACATAACAAAGGTTTATATATAAAAGGAACATCTCTTGTTTTTAAATTCTTTGTCCAGTCATATACATCATGAAACAGGTATCAACATGTATAATAAACAAAAATTGTATGAACTGTGATCAAAATTTGACCTCAGACTTTCAAAATTAGTCTACTTTTGTTAAAATATATATGTGTATATGCAGTATACAATGGTGTGTGTATGTGTGTGTAGGTGAACAGTCATAAAACATTTGTTAATCCCTTCATAAGAAGACGAAGACAATCGGGAAATTTGACCTAGTATGACTAATTGTTTTTACACATCCAATTTTTATTTACTAGTCAGGATTTGCCATGCATCAGCTAACATCACACCTTCACGTCTGTTCAAACTGTTGGGATCCACCCATATATGCAGGGCTTCTGCAGTCAGTCAGTCTTTCTTTATATAAACCAAAGCCTCTCTGTAGAACCTTAGTCTTATCAAAGTCGATTCTGTGTCTCGTTTCTATGGAATGCAGCGCAATCAATCGCTGAGTTGTTTTCTAGCTTCTTCAAGTCTGCAGAGGTCTTTGGAACCACCTTTAGACATTGTTTATACCCTTTCACTCTTATATTTACCTGTCTGGAAGTTTCTCCTACATATACGGTGTTCTCTGCCTGAGCGGGTTGATTTAATTGAGGAGCTTTCGTAGTCCTTCTAGACAACATCTTCAGCGTAAGTCTTGGTATGAAGTGAACTTATTTGATTGAATTCTGCATGAATGATGTTATAACCGTATCCCCTGACAACCTGCTTTGTCCTGATTGGTTGTTTGTTAATTTACATCTCTGCTGATCAATTTTTTTATTGACTTGGAATTTGAACTTTCTTGTCATGTGATAACTTACTTTTTATTAGCTGGTATATTTGGTCTCTGGTAATGTTTGTTAATAGCTGACTCATTTAGCTATCAAGCGTCTAGAAATTAATGTCAGTATAAAGTTTGAGCATTGTGGAATAGATCAAATAAAGTATATAATTATATTTCAGTAGTTTACACACAATGATAAGTTTTGTTATTGGTATTGGTAATATTTCGAGCAAAATTACTATTGCCTGTGTTCACCCCACTGTTGGAATTGTTTTGTTCACACATTTATTATTTGTACTTATATATATAGTTCATTTTTATTTGTTCATTCATATTTTTGTATTCAGAATTATATTCATTCTGACAACAACATATTTTACATTTGAAGGAAAAATATACCAAAAAAAATGAGAGTAGCTATGGGATAGCCCATCTCACTAATAATAGCTCATATTCGTAGAATTTTGGGAAGAGAATGAACTTAAACTATTCAGGTCATCCACACAATGTTGTTGGAGATATGTAGACGATACGTTAGTAATTGTGAAAAAAACGATATTGAGAAACTCTTCTCACACATAAACAGTCATGTCGACTGAATAAAATTCACTATGGAAATAGAGAATGAAATTGAGGAACTGCCTGTGTTAGACTGCAAAATACAAAGAGTAACAGATGGTAGCATTAAAACGACGCTATATAGAAAAACTACACACTCTGGAAGATTCCTTGATTATCACTCAGCTCATCCACTCACGATGAAACGAGGGTTAATACAAGGTCTTGCAGATAGAATAGGTAGACTTACAACAACGCCAGAGGACCAACGTAAAGAAATAAATGTCCTATTCAAAATGCTACTCGACAACAATTTCCCAAAAGAATTTATAAAAGATAATATAAAAAAGAGAAAAAAGAGGGTAAAACCGGAGAATAACAAGATGGAAGAATGCAAAAAAACAGTTACAATACCATATAAAAATGGTACATCAGAGGCAATTCAAAGAAACCTCAAAAATATCGGCATTCACACAACTTTCAAACCGACAAATCTAATCAAAAATAAAATAAATCTACTGAAAGATCCCATAAAAATGATGGATAAAAACAACTTGATTTACAAAATATCTTGTGGTGACTGTCCGACTAAATATGTGGTGCAAACGTCCAGATCACTCAAAATAAGAGTGAATGAACATAAACGCCTAAAACTAAAGGTCAACCAACAGGAACAGAAGCTTACAAGAATCTTGAAAAAAATTCATCGATAGCTGCACATGCATGGGACAAAAACCACAATATCGATTGGGACAATGTGCGTATTCTAAAAACTAACATGAACAAATGGAAAGAAAGACTTATAACAGAATCGATATTCATTAAAGTCACACTGGATACATGTAACAAGGGTGACTCAGCAGCACAACTGTCAACAACCTGGAATATAATTCTGGATACAAAAACATGAATGAACAAATAAAAATGAACTATATATATGAGTACAAATCATAAATGTGTGAATTAAAAACACAAACAAAAAACAATTCCAACAGTGGTGTGAACACGGGCAGTAATTTTGCTTGAAATATTACCAATAACAAAACTTATCATTGTGTGTAAACTATTGAAATATAATTATACTTTATTTGACAATTGAATACCTTTCAAGTGTTCCATTATAAGTAGATTTCCGCACTAATCGATATAGATTTACTTGTGTTCTCTGCCTTGAGCTGGTTTATTTTGATTGCGAAGCTTCTGTTCTCCTTCTAGACAACAACATCTTCGGTGTAGGTCTTAGTATGAAATAAATTTATTGAAAATTCTTCATGAATGGTATCTCCTGAATTGTATCTACTGTCAACCTCCATTGCCGTGATTGGTTGTTAATTTACAGCTGTATTGATCATTTTTATTCCGTTGGAATTTGAACCTTCTGGTCATGTGATAACTTACTTTTTATTAGCTGGTAAATTTGGTCTATAGTAATGCGCATGTTTGTTAAAATAGCTGCTGACTCATTGTGGGTATCAGGCGTCTAGAAATTCCCTGGCAGTATTTTTGGTGTTTCCTCCGTTTAAAATTTCTACATTCTCTTAATCAAATTTGTGTATGTAATCATCTACGTACATCAATATGGAAGAATACCTATCGTATCTTTTCACAGCTAATTTATGTTCTTGGATTCGTATTCGAAGAGGACGCCCACTTTGAACGATGTAATGTTTATTGCAGTTCATACATGTAATTTATTTTGTAAATGGTATTGATCTCATCTTTTTCTGTTGGATCTTTTGATTTGCATAATATCGAGTGAAGTGAGTGTGTCGTCTTGTGTGTTATGTTTATTTCAAATGTTCTTAGCATTCTAGCCGTTATTTCAGAGGTATTTTCTATATATGGTAGGATGAATTTTCTTGTGGTCTTTGATGTTGGCTTGTTGTTTGGTGACATGACTCTGGTTTAAACACTTTTTGATGAGATTGTGTGGATGTTTATTCTTTTTGAAGACCTTTTGTAGGTATTTCTCATCCATTCTCTTCAGCACTGGAGTGCTACAGTGTGTGTTTGAACTCTTTCAAACAGTGTCTGCACACATTTTCTTTTGTGAGTCAAGAATCAGACACCAACGCTTCCCGCAGACACTCCCGCGTGGTGAGCTGATCAAATTGTAACTCTACACATCATCATCATCATCATCGAACAAGGCACATAGTGGCAGTCAAACCTCCTTCTACCTCAACTTCATCGACCTTGGAAAGGCCTTTGACAGACAGCTTTCACCGAGAAGTAATTTGGAAACTACTTTAACACTATGCCGTGCAGTGCCCAAGTCTTTATCAACCTCATTCAACAGCCATGTGAAAATGCCATCTCATGTCAGGTGATCCACAATGGAAAACTCGTTGAGGTGCATGAAGCGAATACAGGAGTAAGACGGGGCTGTCTATTATCGCTGACGACATCCGTTATTGTGGTGGACTGGATTATGCGCCAAACTGCGACTGGAGGATGAGAAGACAAGAATACGCTGGACCACCGATAAGAAGATTCTAGAAGATCTGGATTTCGCAGATGATAGATGTCTAATGTCACACGAACTCGAAGACTTGCAGGCGAAAACCAACAGACTGGCTGAAGAAGCAGTCAGTGCAGACAGGATTCCAAGTGAACATAGAGAAGACGGAGGTGATGAAAATAACCAACGAACTGAAACAAAAACACCAACCATTACCATCAACGGGAGAGATTTAACAGAAGTTACCTCCTTCAGTTATCTACGAAGCATCGTTTCAACCATACTGAAGATCAAATAACTGGCAAGAAAGAATTAGTAACAAGAAACTTTAACAAAAAACTAGCGAAGAGCCTATTGCTCGACAGATATTTAGAAGAAAATGGAGATGGATTGATTGGGCATACGATGAGGAGGCCGTGGAATGACAGCACGCACAATGCAGGCCATTGTTCGAGTGGAATCCCAGTGGAAAGCGATGAGTATGAGTTGTTGGTG